TGAGACAGTTGCACTGGATGAGCACAAAAGAGGGAGCAGTTAATTATACTGTTAAGAGCTTATAACTTACATCATGGGAAGCTTCTGACATACTGCCCTCTAGCAGGGGGAAAAGCTAATTTAAAGAGTGGTTGATGAAGAATTGGAAGCAGGGGGAACAAATCAAAGTTTATGATAAATAGCAAAGGTACTTTATGCTCAAAATGTAGTGTTTTCAACCTTGTGAAGATAAAAATGCTCTTCCCTTCTCAAAATATGTCTTGTCTCTAAGAAGTACTGAGACTGTGGGCCACTGATGTTGCAGAGGTTAATGCAGGTTGTTTAAATACAGATTGAGGCAAAACATCAGAATGTAAATAGATTTTTCTTGCTGTATGTGAGTAATATTTTTTCTTTTCCCCTTACTAAAGGCAGTAAAAAGTCCATTTTTCAATAAATATTTTTAACCTAGTTTGGTGTGTATTTGCATGGGACTTTATGGACTGCAATGAGTAAGTGTAGTAAAAAGGGAAGACCTAATCAGAAGCCATTATAGGAAAAAAAAATGAGTAACTGAAATGATTGTATTTTCCAATAAAGTCAAAATAATGTGTGTGTAGAGCACCCTTTTTTATCAGCTGGTGGGGACTGAACATTTTCATATAGAAAAGAACAAATAAAGAAGAGCTAGCACGTGTTCGACTTTTACATTAATGTATTTTTCTCAGTTTAAAGAACTGTACTTGAAATACAGTGTAAATATATTTTCAGCTATCAAGACTCCTAGAATGATAGTTTTAAGCAATATGCCTGGCTGGTTTAAGCAATTGTTGATGCACAGATCTAATCTGATTTCTGTTTTAAATACTGGCTTTTTCACATCAACATTACGAGAAGTGAGGTTTGGGTGAAGAGTAGGCGATTATTTTTACCACACTTAAAAATGTTCTTATCACTAACAGTTCTGAACACTTAGCAATGCAAGATTGTAAGGTGAAGCGAAGCACTTAAAAGTGTATATGAAATTGGATGTATGTTTATGAACAGCTATGAAAAAGATGAGTTGGTCCTATCAGCCGCTTTTTCAAGAGGTTACTCCCTGAATACATTGTCACATAGATAGAAGTTATTTTTAACATGAGCCTTAAAACAAGAATTTGATGAGCTGAATACTGCTTTAACTATCTGGACATATTGTCTAAACACAAAAGTCTGCGCTTGCTTAACTTGCATTTCTTTATTTCTATCAGAGCATAAAGAAGACCTAGGCAGGGACATCCCTTAAAGATGCTATGTTTGATTTGTCTTGTAAACTGGTTTGCAAGATGTGAAAGTCAAATGTGAGAGCCAGTTTTGTTTTGAAGTCTAGCTGGTGGTTTCAGGCAAGCAGATGTTAAGTAGCTGTATCCCTCTGAAATATGTCAACATTTTGTATGCTGCTATTTCCATGGAAGCAGGTATTGGCTCAGCAAAGATGGCATAGGGTTTTCAAAACTACGTTTTAAAATCAAGATAGTCATTCATATTTTTACTCCTAAATGCTGATATTGGTTATGCTGAACAGAACCTCTTTTGAGTATATTAGGCGTAGTCATGGGAATTCGCAGGTCAGTGATTAATATTTTTTAATTAATGTTTTTAAAAAGTGAACTAGTGTTTCATAGAACTTCATTAGAAAAACACGCATTTATTTAATTTTTTCCCAGCACGTTGACTTCTAGGTAGTTGAAGGCAGTTACGTTTCCGTCACTTCTTCAGACCTTCCCCTTCCTCAAAAAAGGCAAAATATGCACTGAATGAGAACGAGAAACGCATTTAAGCTACTTGGCAAACTTACGCAATTCTTTTTTTTTATATAAAGTGGCTCAGGAAACACATAAAAGTGATCACATGTGATTTTGGAATTTTTAGTAGCATATAAAAAAGAAGCAGGCCTGTATTTCTTTGGGCCAGTTTGATTGCCTTTGGGGACGTTTGCTTTAAGACTAGCCTACTTACAGCCAAGATAGTTACCCCGGTTCAGTATTGTTATGGCACTAAAAAACAGGATTTAACTAGCAGGACTTATTACTTCCCAGGATGTTGCCCAAAGGATAAATCTCATACATGATATTAATTTGAGGACAAGGAGTTCCAGGAATTCCTGAAAAATTAGCATGCCTCTAATTGTAGTGTTGCATCTTCAGCGTCGTTACTCAGAAAGTCAAATTTGTTCTCCAACTCGGGCAGTGATTAGATCATGCCTTTTTCGTGCCTTTTATGAATCAAATATCCTCAGTCCTCTAGACCAGTGGTTCCCTGCTGGTAAAGAACTATGTTCCAAGTGAGGCATGGAGTGGAAGAGGATGTGCTGCATGTATGAAGCAGTTGAAGAGAAAGCCTGGTTCAAGGAAATGTTAGGAAGAGCCAGCAACGCAGAGTTGTGGAGCTGTGCTGTAAGGCAAGGCTGTGAGGGAGGTACCTAGGATAAGCGTAGTTCACGATAAACTGTCGACATTGCATGAGGAGGGCAGTCAGGCAGAACTGCAGCTCTAGAAGAGAAGTGGGACTGAGAAGGCAAGGGGCTAACAAGGAGGGTGAGGAAACAGTAGCAGCAGCATGTGTATGTGAAGGGGGAGACAGCTTAGAAAAACAGCTGTAATGAAGCCACCTACTGAAAAAAAAAAAAAAAGAAAAAGAAAAAAAGGCTAGGAACATTGGTCTAAAAAAATGTTGGCAGTTTCCCAAAAGAACACAGACTTTTTTTCACTAAAGTGGAATTTGTTTGACAGAACAATTCCCTTTAGAAATAAAATTCTTTAAACATTGGGTCACTAAATAATGAAGGGTAAAGTGCTTAGTGACCCAAATTAGATTCCATAAAAGGATACCCACTAACGATCAAAATGTGTTTCTCTATGGGCTATACTTAATTCAAGTATTTTCCCAAAATACAGAGGAAGAACAAGTCTACAATTCATGCCTGTAGCTTGCTATCTGAGTCTCCTAACGCTTTTCATATAGGAAAAGGGAATTAGTAGCATTTGCCTATTCTCAAAACTAATCGGGTGCTATCAGCGCATCGACAACAGTGCTCCTCGTTCTGCCAGAGATGCCAACCAAACCAGAAATAAAATTTCCTCCTAAATAGGAGACTGTGCTCTCCTTCAAACTCTACAACTTTCACGTCTAAGGATTTCTTGGTCGATTATGAAAAATAAAGCTGTGAATATCAATTTCTCTCAGAACATAAGAACACAAGAATAAGTAGACTGGGTCAGACCAAAGGCATATCTAGGCTGCTATGTTGCTTTTTTTTTTTTTTAACATCATCTTCAAATAGTATGTAGAATGCAGATTTTTTTTTTCTTCTCCTGTCTGATCAATTTTAGCTGTAAGTAAGTAATGCGGTTGCAGACTTAGCAATCTTTGCCAGGAAAGAGAAGTGCAGAGTACTCCTATGTTGCAGCCACTGGAGAACCTTATACCAAGAAATTCTATCTGTTGCAGACCTACCCTTGGTGCCATCTTCTAAGTATTGTTCAAACTACTTGAAGATTACTCTGACTCTAGAGTTTTTATCATTAGCTTTCTGTGGTCTCTTTCACGCCAATTTATGGCAAAAGTGAGAGTACTGCAATGTAAAGGTATTAGTGGGTTTAGCAAGCCATTGAAAGATAGGATGAGTATTGTCTTCATCTCTACTGTTGTTAGGCCTAAAGAATCTTAACGTGGGGGCTATTCCTAAATATAAAATGAGATAGACTGTAGCATATCTTATATATACATATAGATGCATTAGGAAATTGATTATGTATATAACTGAGTATTATATAAGTGAGTGTATATATACATGTGTGTGTGTATACCGTACATACATATATGTACTGCATGCCGTATATACAGTTCTCTGTATGAGTATTAAATCCAACTATTTCCCAACATCAGTTATCTAATGATTTTGTTACTCTCTAAACATGCCAGATAAGATAATTCCACTTTACAGGGAAAATCAGACTGGCCAGAAAAAAACACATTAAAGGAGCTGTTATTTCTTTTTAGATTTCACAACCAAGATGGTAAACATGCTAGAAACGATTCCTGAGCACTAAAAGAATATTCTGCTTTTTATATAGATAAGAGGTTTTTGGTTGCTTGCTTTAAAAAGCATCATACTTATGCAAATGCAAAGAAATAGGGAGTGCTTCGATATGCTTGAAGATGACAAGCTAAAATAAAGTTCCAATTACAGAGTTCCCCATCAAATTACTGGTAAAGGAGGATAGTGCCAGCTAAGAGTCAGGGGATGACTGCAGTCTGTTGAAAACTAGTTCAGGTGTAAACATCAGCACCTGCTTGTTAGCATACTTTCTTTCATGGTAAGCCAAGTTAATTTCTTTCTTCATAACAAAAAGTTGCTGACCTCAGTGCAAGAGTGTGTGCATGGCAGTTCCTAAAAGGTAGCATATTTGCTTGTAAACTTACCCTCATGCATCCTCACAGTAACTTCTTGTTTGTATGCTGACCTACAAGCAGTGGAAAGTAGCAAGTCTAGCACAGCCACCACAAAAAAATGATGATTTGCCTGTGATCGGCCACAGAAGCTTTTATAGAGTGCCAAAGGTTATACAGTGACAGATTTAAGGAAGATTTGTGTACAGCAAGTACAACGTTTCAAGTTAGTCTTACAGAGGAAGGTTACAGATCAGTAACAGCTCAAGATTTGTTGTGTATGTCGGTCTACATAGTCACATTGAATGCCCAGGTACTGTATTTGAAGCACAGACTTTTGGCTTAGGAATACCCATGGAGGAAGTGCTGGTACCGCACTGCATGCGACATTAAGCCTGTAAGGCATGCCTTGAGTGCCTCAGCTCGCTCAGTGCCTTGAGAGTTGGCCTTTATGAAGCAGCTTTAACCATGCTGCTGCTATGTCAAAATGCCTCACTTTTGCGAGGCCTTAAGTTAACCAGTTTTTTTAAAATCATAAGTCCAGGTGATTTTGACTCTTGCTATAAAAGAAAGCAAAGCCAGAGCCTCACAAACTTTAAACAGTTTATTAGAACCCAATAAACATTGCTTTCATTAGAAGAATGAAGTTAACACCTAATTCAGGGTGAAATTACATTTTAAGACAGGAACAAAAAAAATTTGCAGTGCTTAAATACAGTATTTACTGATGACTGTTTTTAAGTATAAACTTGTACCAGAATTCTATTGTGTGGTGTTAGTATGGTTTCTAAGTCTGAGCAGGTTCAGCATTTTATTTTCAATTGGAAGTATAATCACACCATGTAAAGGGCTGTCCCCCAATCTGCCTCCCAGAAGTACATAATGAAAAGTTTTGGCTTATGCATACAAAGCTCAAGCCTTAAACAAAAAAAAAAAATCCTCAAAGGTGCATCAGCAGAATCTGAAACTTTTATTTCATGAAGAAATTGTATATTCAAGACTCATTAGTAAGAGATCCCTGTAGCCAAAAATTGTTTGAGCTTTGAAATTTATTTAAAGGGTTTACTGGATTGCATCAAGCAAACCTTAACTGTTATTTTAAATCTGAACCTGAGTACAGAGATAATAGAAGTACAATCACCCACGTCACAGGCCCTATAAATTATTTTCACAGTAGCCCTTTTGGAGAAATTTGAAGAATTAAAGTTATTAACCCAACCTTAGTTTTCACTACTGTAGATCAACAGAATCTTTTCCATAAAATCCAGAAAGTGCTTAAACACAGAATACAAAAAGTATCTAACTTACAAACTCTTCTGAGATAGGAAAGCAAAACATGGAACATGCCAGATGTCTGAAGAGATTGTATCAAAGTACTGTAAATTAACTTGAGTGACTGTGACATAGGAGGGATGGTCTTGAAACAGTAAAACAGTGCGTACAACATTGTATTTACTGATGGCAAGGGTTGTGCCTTCCATTATGGTTCCTACAAAGCTGTAGACTTGTCTTTATTTCTCACTGAAGAACTGCTTTCTTTAACCTGTACACAAACATATTTCTTACAAGCTGTGCTATTTTACCTTTTAAAATAAGCTATAGTTACACAACTTTCTCAGAATGTGTCAAATTATCCCAGCTCTAGCTATAAGCTTTGGTCACTGTATACTAGAATTAAAATGGTACTTGCTTCTGAAGACTATTTCTCTGTCATATATCTTTCCTCGGTTACATTAAGGAAGGAACAATTTTTAAACATTGTTTTCATTCTCAATTGATAGCTCAATCTGCAAACTACAAAAACACAGCACTCATGAAAAAAGCAGAGTAGTTTTGCTCATACAGGTATTACTGTAGAAAAGGAGTCCTTTGGCTATACATTGTTTCCACAGTGTATTTGTTACATGAGAGATACAAACTGTACAAGTTCTCCAGTTTACAAAGTTTTCTAGTTTGCAGAAACAATTCAGCCTCTATTTATAATATTGGTTTTAAATGTAAAGATTGTTACAGGTAAGGTACAGTCTAATTGGCGCTCAATGTAACAACAAAATGAAGTTTTAATACAATTTGCAATAGTACAACTATGTACATATTTACAGAACTGTTTCCTTGTGTTACTTCACTAACTTTAAGTATACTTATCACTTTATTACAGGCTTCTTTTAAAGTAAGAAACGCTGAAGTAAAAATGGTTCAGTTTTGCAGCACTTCAAGTTCTTCAATTGAGATCTCTTCACATCTACATTTCCTGTTTAACTCGGGATTTAAAGAACACCATCGCTGAAGCGTGGCTTGCCATAATCAACGAGGTCATTCTGAAGATCTCTTTCTTCGTCATCTGCAATTGAAATAGTCAGACCAAATCTGAAATGATACTACTGAAAAATATTTAAGCAGTTAATACATACATCCACACAGATTTAGCCTTGTCTGGTTAGGGGAATGAAGTCATCAGGGACAGAGAAGGCATATGGGCCTGCAATTACAAGTCCAGCTGTCAGCACTTTGGGAGTTGTCCTTTCTGAAGAACTGTGACTTCACACTATTTGATTTCTTTGGCTTTCTTACAACTGTGTTTCAGAGATTTATTGACTTAAGAGATTGCAGAACTAGTTAAAACTTACTACTGTAATTTGAGAATGTTCTTTTAAAGGTTTCAAACTCTCCTGCTAAAACCCAACTACAAAGTCAACTTTCAAAAAAATTACATTGCCAGTTTTTAAGCCCTTCTAGCATTTGTAAAAAATTTTTAATGTATTAAAGAGTCGAGTGCCTCATGGGACACGCATAAAGATGTTATGACCCCCCTCTCCAGGCCTCTGAATAGACTGTGAAGGAATAAGGTAAAACTTTTTCCATCTACTTCTCATTTTTTTTTATTAAATATATATATAAATATAAAATTATATTTTTCAAAACCAATGCTCAAATTGTACTTTGCTATCAACATTTTTACATATTGCTATCTTGTATCTCAGGAACTTGAGTGTAAAATTTGAAGAGGGACTTTTAAGGAGTTTAAAATTTAAAAAATAACTCTTAAAGAACCCTTTAAAAACTCTTACCAATGGAAATCTGCATTTCCTCTCTCAGCACTGTTGAAGAATCAACATACATTTTTCACCACTGTTCTTTACAACTGAATCAAATTTATCCAGTTAGGTTATCATGTGACAACTATTTAGCCCATCAGTCAAGACATTTATCTATTGTTGAGCTGCAGAGCAACTACATATTCAGCCAGGAATTTTGTAACAGTAGAGGTAAAGAGCAGAGTCAGGAGCAACGCCCAGTAAGCAGTCTAGCAATTGATGCAGAGAGGCCGCTTCAGGAGCGCTACATCTTTCCCAGCTGCATTTAGTTCATCTTTACAGTGGATTTACAGCTTTATCCTCGGCTGGAAGAACGAGGGGTTTCATCTCTTGTTTTCCAGATCCCTAATAATTCTCTCTCTCCACCACTCTAACTCTTTCTTACTTCTTAACTTCTGCTCTTTGGGTTTTGGTTTTTGAACCTCTTGAAAAATCATAAAGTTCAAAAACGAAACAAAAAACTTGTGCATCCTCAGTACAACCATTTACTATAGCACACATTTTTTCAAAAAAAAGTATGTTCAATACTTTTGGCAGAAGACATGTTTTAAATTACACTTCTGAAGTTTCACAAACAGCAAAAGCATCACAGTCTTCATGATACCCCCTGCACTAAAATACTCTGCAGCCTACCTCCCAAAATTCAGATCTTTCCTGTGTGGGTCCTGAGCTGCCTTCCCTCAATAAATGAAAAAGCCTTAAAACTTCAGCTTGTTTCAAATAACGTGCTTCTGCTGTATTTCAAAGCTTAGTGCCCCTTTATCTTTACAGGAATGGAAAGCAAAGTTGAAGTGAATGATAAAGGTTCAATTGTGTTTTCCCACAAGTTTATTTCATGAAGTCTTTTCTTTGAGGATAAACTGGAGCTCTTAAACAGTTTTCCTTCTGAAACAGTCCTTGTTTTGCATGCTGATAAAGTAATTCTTGTGAAAGTGTGAATACAGCAAGCCTTACCTGACAGCACCTACTCCCAACAGCTAAAGGCTTAAGTTTATCTACATGACACATGCTTTTATTTTGCAAGAAAACAGCCAATACGGAATGCTTGTAATTAGTATAACTTGATTTATATAATCCTTCACCATCCAGCCACCACAGAGAACATTTATTATAGTAGAAGCCAACAACTTATATAGCACCTTGCATTTCAAGTAGGTAGACTGAAAGAAGTAAGGCCAGATTGGATACTGACATTCACATAACATATCTTATCTCCCAAATTTGTAAATTTTCTCTTTGATAATACCAATCGAAGGCCCACACATATCTAGCGGAAAGAGAAAAACACGTTTAACCAAATTGGTTTGTTTGCACATGCCACATGCTTTGTTCTAGCCTAATGCAAAGCCACGTGATGCTTTCCTAAAACGTGACAATAGTTTTAAAGTCAGAAATTAATTTTTTCCCTCCCTGTACGACAACCCCTCCCTGCAAGCCCCCACAATTCCGGCTTCTCCTCTGCTGCAAACAAATTGGCGAAAAGACTAAAGCAGACATTCTTTGTTTTTAAAACACTTCTAGAAGTATCACTTTCCATGCTGTTTGGCTTGCACCAAAGCTAGTTAACAAGTTATTAGGAAACAAGGTAACAGGATAAAAACAAAGGGCTTGGAAACTTAAGCCTGAAGAGGTAACATATACCGGACTATTCTTCAGGAAGAGGCTTCTAAAAGTCACTCTGCTCTTTACTATCAGAAATTAAATCCAGTATGTCTACAGATGTCTAGAGGAACCAATTAGAAAGAAGATGGATGTTTTGCACTTAGTAAAAATTTAAAGCCACAAGACTAGTGAGCTGACATCTAAATGTGCAACAGTTTTATGAGGCCACTTACAGTTAGAGCTCTATTTTTCAAATATTCCTTGCATCACAAGCTACGTAAGCACACCCTTAACTTTCATTTTTTCAAATTTTCCACCAACAACTGCTATTTAATGCCAACACATATAGAATGCTATTCATGTTATTTGTAGTAGCTTACAGCAAACACCATATTAACTGTTGCTACCTAAAGCCATTAGTTCCTCAGTAAAGACCACTAGAGCAATGTATTAGAATTTATAGGCAAATCAACACTGAACTCAGAAACAGCAGAAGCTGCATACTGCGGGGGGGGGAAAGCTGCATTACTGTGATTCAGGTATCCAACCTCCCTCCCACCACTACCTCAAACTTCTGACTGTGGAGTAATGACAACAAATAAAGATCATCCAAAAGGCTGAATGAAGCAAACAGGAGCAGTTAGCGCTCTGAGATTTAGCGACTGGCAGATGGTTCTTGGTTAAGCTTTCAAGAACTGTGTTTTGAACTCCAATTAAGTACTAATATGGTGAAGAGCCAGACAGCACCTTCTGTGTAACAGGGAAAACTGGACTTTAAAAAAAAAAAAAAAAAACAACCCAGCTTGCTTGGATTCATGAAGCATAGTTGGAGTATAGTTTAGACATATAAACATGTGTCTGCATACCATGCTTTCCTTTCCATAAGGAAATCATAATCATGAGAGCAAGTCTTCTACCCACAACACAACATCAACAAGGAGCTGAACATACTTTTGTACCTTCAACCGGAAGCTAGCTTTTACGAAGAATATGAACCCTAATAAATGACCCATCCAAAAGGAACCAACATTAGTAATCCAGAGTGACTGAAATCCCTTGCTATAGTTTTAATCAAAAGTGTAATAAGAGAGACCACGGTTTCTGGAGCAACAATACGGTTTTCATTTTTGTCAGTAAGTTAATCAATTGCCCAGGTTTCTGATCCATACTTTCCTTTTGCTTGTTCACGAGTTTCAAACTACCAGCCCAGCCAGGGAAGCGCTTACACTGCACAGCTAGATGGACGGGCACAGAAACCAGTTGCTTTTTATCAATTTTTTTTCCCATTAATTATGCTTAGATACCAATGAAATAAAAGCCTGAGAAACTACCAGCTAAAAGACTCGCATTATGAGGATCAAAATCAGGGTACATGTAGAAATTCGGTAGGGTTGCTTTTCTGTATTTTGCATTATTTTCTCAACTGGAAATACTATATGTGTTTACTTAAAACATTTTCACCCTTCAGACATGCAAAAGCCTTTCACAAACTACTACCAAACTACTACAGGAGCACGGAAAACGGCAGACAACGTGGAAGATGTGGCAGACAAGCAATGAAAAGTTGCTGATACACTGAAACGCATGCAGAACAAAAGGTGGTAAACATGCATATGTAGATATTAGGCTAGCACCAGATGAATGAGTTTTGAAGTGTGGTTAACAAGGAAAACCAGAAGTCTGTTGAATCTGTGTATAATGCATAAAAATTACAATTTGATAACTAAGACTTCACTGCATACCACCTCAAGGCAGCTGTTACAACATAAGCAGTAGATTCAGAAAACACACTTCTCTATTTGAAAACTGCTGTAGTGAACATCAAAGGCTAGATGTGCCAACATACTAGATAACAGATTTTGGGGTTTAGATAAAAAACTATTCCTGAAATGTTAAGGGTCTTGACTTTCCTAGCATAAAGTGTATACAAGATTGAAGTTTGTTAAAATATTCTCACTGCAAAAATACTATAACGTTGATTTTCAGATGGAAAGTAAGACCAAATTTGAAAAACTGCCCAAAGTTAATTTATTTCATATTAGAAATTTTTGATTGGGTAAAAATAGAAAGGCTTTACACAAATTCAACAAGCAAACTCTGTGGATCTTATTTTAATGGGATGGAGATAAGGCCCAAGCTCACCTTGGACGTCTTCTTCTCCACCATCACCATCCTCTTCCTCATTGTAAGCCAGCTCAGCCTGTTTGTCTGCCTCATACTCACCCACGTTACCATCATCCCCATTATAATCTGCCAGTTTAGAGCCCTGCTGCGGATCAACAGGGGATTCATTCTCATCAAAGAATCGGCCTGTGAAGTAGGCAAAGGATTAAGTCAGAAGCAAAGAGGAAAGAAAAAGGAAGATTCTAAATGAAAGCAGACCGCAGATTAGAATCTTCGGTTTTTGTAGCAGTCTCAACTGGAGGAGAAAGGGAGTAGAAGGGCATGTGCGTGGGCGGGGGGGTGAAAGGGCGTAAAAAAAAGGGATGTACTTGATCATTTAGAATTTGGACCTCGTGAAATCTGATTGCTATAAGCTTTGCTTCTTGTAGAAACCAATGAGAGTAAGCATCCACATAGGACCTCCATCTATGACTACCTACATATACTAATAAAAGTTTCCTTACAGTGCCAAAGCACATACATCGAAAGTTTTCTGTATTCAGACTTTTCCCAATTTTAGCCATTATAGTAAGTGTTCAGAGATTTTCCTCTAGCAAAAGAGGACTGGAATTTTTCTACACACTATGGAGCAATATATTGCTGATTTCTTATACAGTAACGTTTGCAGAATGTCAAGGGTAAAAATTAGCAGAGATCTGTCTGGCTTCTCTAAATTGTTTTAGCTACATAACTAATTTGGTTTTACATTAACTTTCCTACTGAGGTTTTAAAGTTTTCAAAGTGTTTTGAATCCAGTCGATTTTTGTCTCCAACCAAAGAATTAAGAATAGTTCCATAGAGTGAAACAATGCAGTAGAAAAATGAGCATTAGTTGGAACTATGAAATGAACAGTCAACCAAGCACACAAACAAAAAATAATGCTATCATGCCAAGATCAGAGCACGTGTTTAATGGGATACTAATGAGATCTGTTCAAGTCCAATACAATCCCATCTACCTACACACTAACTGATCGTCTGCAGAGGATATAGATCTGGCAGGATCACGTATAAAAGGAAAAAAAAAAAGAAAAGATTAAGATGTGATACAATCTTTACAGACTGGAAACATACTGAGAAAAAAATCTGCCAAGCCAGATGTTGAATGATTCACGTTGGAAGCAGTTAAACACAGAAGTAGAAACAAAGAATGATTTCAACATTAGAATTAAAAAAAAGAGGTTGACGGTTACAATGGACAGATATAAGAACGAAATTATTTCTCAAAACAGTGAGAGCTATCATACATGGTAGTATATAAAAATCAGGACAAACTGTCATAGGGCTTATTTGGGTGGGGAAGAAGCAGAAGAATCAACTAAATAGTGCAGCTCAAATGTACAGATTAAAGTTTTAATTATTTTCACAAAATAAGCAAGAAGTTTTCCATTTCTATTCATTTTCTATTAATCTCTAGAATTGAATAATTCCTGCTAACACTGTGTATATTTTTTGACACTGCCTTTTATATATAAACGGACAGAACTGTACACTACTGCACATGTTAAGTACCATAAAACAAGAGCTATGAGAAAAGAACTGAATGCACTTATAGAAAAAACAAGCCTGTAAACATGCAGAAACATTACGACAGAAGTACTAAATTAGTTTAAGCTGACAGAAGAAAAACATAGGTTAAAACATTAGAAAGAGATCTTCGGAAACAGAGCAAGCCACCGCTATAGGCTTGTTGCACGAGACCCGGGGCGAGCACCCTAGCGCACAGGAGAGCCCTAATGTGTTTGGATTCCAGCACAACTTCAGGATGCGGTCACTCTTTCACTACAGCTGCCTGCTTCTACTTGAAAGTTTGATATACTAGCTCAGGCTACTTGATATCTAGGGAGGAAGGGTCGGTTCCTTGAGGATATACAAACCCCACCAGCAGACATTTTGGTCCAGGAGGTCTTGACAGTAACTCCATTGACTGTGCCTACAGGGTCAGATGTACAAAAGATCTGGGCAGTAGGTGACTTTTTGCACAATACTGGAAGAACATCAGTACTCTAACATAAGGCACATATATAGTGACCTTGGGAGAGCAAGACTTTGGGCAATACCAGAGCAGGGGTCACTGGCAGCAGGAGCCAATAACACACCAGTTGCTTTCTCAAACAGATACTTTGACAGAATTATCTTGAATCTTTTGTAGGTCCTGCACTTGACAGGGCTGCGGATCTCTCAAGTCATTCCACGTGTAAGTCAGAATGCCTGTTATGCACGCATTACAAAAATTGACTGCAGGAGACACAGTGATATATGTTGTCATGATGGTTAGAGGTCAGTGACAGCACGGAACGCCCCATAAGGATGTCACGGATGCTAAAATCTGCAAGTAACATTTGCTGAAATGAATTCTGAATAGACACATGGGCTATTACTCCCAACAGGATCCTTAAAAACCCCTGACTGGTAGAGCAGCTGTCCACACGCTCATCACTCAGGACCTGCTTACAGGATAGCTGTGAATAGCAGCATGCACTCGAGTTGGGTGTGTACCCTATGTACCCTTTTTTCAGGGCATACGGTAAGAACACAAATAGCGATGCTGTCAGTCGCTTTCAGTTTCTGCTTCTTCTGAAACAGAACCCCTGCAAGTGTCCACATCTCTCTACCTAGCCCAAAGTTATTCTCTTAAATCAATGCCAAAAATGGAATTAATCAAAATAAAAACAGTATTTTTGGCAGAAGTTCTTCGATTCTGAAACCGGACAGTTATACCAAATACCCTAACCAACGACAGGTTGCTACTCCCAGCCTGTGAGCTGATGCACAAGTTTTTAGGCACTCAGCAGCTAAAATCCCACCCAGACTACTGTCTAAAATGAAAGATGTGTACCTGAGCTGGGCTCCTCTGTACCAGCAAGATGAATTTATCACTAAAGCGCCTTTCAAAATGGCCATTGCTGACCAATCAGGAAACAAATCAAGAAACCTAGATTAGTTATTTCCATATAGGACAGAGAAATCCTCTCTCCCCCCTTAAAGTTATCTCAAATAGGAGGACCAAAGAGCAAAGAGACATATCAGTGATGACTACTAACTCTTAATTATCCACTCATAGCCTACAATGGAAACTTTTCATTCTCTGCTGCTGCCTTCAAAGGTAGGCCCCCCCACATCATCTCATCCATTGTCAGGGAAGACAGCCGATCCACTTAAAAGCTCCCAAGAACAATTAGAGAGCCCTACCATTTCAGCTGTAGTCACTCAGCCAGACACGAGCAGGATCTTCAAGAATCTCCTTTGATAAACTAGACAGTCTTGCAAATCTCCAGATATACAGAGTGAAAGAAAAGCTACACAGATTTCTTGATGATTTTGAATCCATCTATCACCGCTTCATCAGAAATTACCATGAAGAGTACTAAAATAACTTAAACCATCTCTAAGTATCTGTTTTTAAGAACAGCAAATTGATCTCCATTCCCCACCTACTCCATCCTGGTCTTTTTAGAGTAAAATTGAGCTTTTTTCTTTTCATACACTAATCCCCACTTTTTTACTCCCCTCCCCCCGTCACCTCTGAACTCCTTCTAGCTTCCTGTCATCTTTCTGAAATCTGGTATTTGAAACCAGATGAGGACCTCACCAGCACTAGGTAAAACACGGAGTAAGTTACTCCATGTTATTCCTGTTAACACATCTCCAGCTGGGGGTGGGGGGGGGGAATTCCAAACATTTGTTAGTGACTGTTATCCACTGTTACCCATACCTATCTACTGAACTGCTCCTTAGCTATTTGTCACTTATTCTGTGCATTTAATTTTCCATTTTTAATTGCAGACTACTTTTATGTTTACAAATTATCATGTTGCTGCACATGGTATTTGTCATCCTATTCATCCTGCTATTCATCATCCACTCAAAATATCGAACAGTGCCAAGCAGAGGATGCATCTTTGTAAATCTCACAGGTAAGTTTGCAAAGTAAAGCTGTTATTGATACCTATGTCCGGAATATTCTTTTCTTAAATTTGTGCATCCAAAGAGCAATTTATTCCTGACCGCTTTCTTAGGCTTTCCTTAAACCCTCTTTGATAAGGTTTTGCATCATCTGCAAGTTTTACCACCTGACTCTCTGGGGAAGTTACCAGGGAAGTGAGGGGAGAAGAGAACACACTAAACCCCCACATACCTGTGCTCCACTTTCTATCCCAAAACAAACCCTACATCCATCCTCTGTTAGCAAACCTGACAATATGCTGACAGGACCTATTCTAATTTAATCTCTGTTTCATAATAGCACCTTAAAAAATTTACAGTAATACAGGAATAAAGGGAGTAATAATTTAAACTTATTTCCCTATTATTCAAAGAATATTTTCAAGAGATTGCTAGAAGTTAGATTCCCTTCTGTAACATCTCCAAGCTAGAGAAGTGCCAGTCAAGTTCTAGACCATGAAAACAACTCCCAGTTAATTTAACCTTAAAAGAATGGGGTTACTCCCATACCAAGCCTTTCGTGAGAAAAATGAATTCATGGTTTCATGTTCATGCGAGTGATCCCAGCTTTTAGAACTCTTTCCATTGATCCCCCAAACCAATTCATGATTCTCTTCCAGCAAGGTGACTCCTATTGCCCTACCATGTTCACCCAACCCACAAAACTAACATAGGTTCCTGGCAGGAGGCTACAGAATCCTTTCTTTCCCATTTCTCACAACTTTGAGAGGTAGTTGTTAGTTCAAACTTGGTAACTTGTCATCTTGGATTAGAGACAGATTTTAATCATAAAAAACGAAGCCTAAGTGAAAGCTGCTTAGCTGAGAGTACGAAGAAATTCAAAATGAAATTAAGTAGGTAACAAAGAAAAACCTTTAAACAATTAAGAGATGCATCAGCACTATGTTTGCGTTCTTCCTCCAGATGTCCTTTTCTCACCCCCATGCTAAACAACGGGAATTAAGGCTTTAAAAATAACTGGGTGACGGTATACCTAGTTAGCATACTCCACTAGTAAAGTATCTCCACTGACACCACATGAAACTTGTTTCAATATAGTGTTCTTACAGGTGAAAAAGCACTATAGGAAGATGCTAAATCAAATGCTATGGGCATAATACACTCACAGTGTTACAATATCAACTACAAATAGGGGCGCATCTTAAAGACAACAGTACGTAAACAACTGCACATGTATTTGCAAGTTCTTACCTGCTGTCTGCCAAGCAGTACTACTAACATCACACACAGTAAGCAAATATATGACTTGTGCCTTGTCTGAAGACTTTTTCCTTGAACAGACATCATGGAAAAAAAAAGGGTTCTGGAAAATTTCCTCACAGAGAAGAACAAACTTCTGGCCAATACACATACATTACCAAAGTCAATTTCCTTCCACGTAAGGGCTGAACTCTTACAATATTGTCCAAAACATGTCATTTAAGTTAAGTTTAATATAGCATGAATGTAAGTATCTCAATATCATGCATGTATCAAAAGTCTTCACCTAACAACCTATTTAAAGTGTAGAAATTCCCCAAAACATTTTAAATTTCTATAAGCAACAAAGATTTTTAAGTAGTTGGATATATCTGAAAGATAACACATTAAGGGATACGTTCTATGCAGTCATACGTTAAATTTCTGGAGAGTAAGCCTGAAAAGACGACCATGCACGGAGGTGTCTTCTCCTGCTTGCTAGAAGGTATTATTAGAACAAATATAAAATGAAGAGATTCTGTTAAATATGGAAGTATATGATATTAACCAACTTACTTTGCTTCATCTTCTGCAAGTCACTAACTCTGCTCTTTGGAAGTTTTATCTGGTCTGTTTTAATTTTGTGTTCTTTCTGATTTTCCATATTTTCTTCAAAATTTAAGTGCTGAAGAGAATTTGGAGGTATCTGCTTCACAGTATCAACATTTCCATCACTGTCAGTGTGCAAACCTACAGAATGAAGGAGCGCGTTTAGTTTTTATAGGGCTCCAAAAGAAGTTTACAATGCTACTGCAAAAAGATAATTCATTACATTTTAATGAGTAATCAGTCCTCTGTTACCTTGTCAATAGATTTTCAGGATAGATGTGTTTGATCAAGCCTTGACCAGTAACATGTTTATGCATTTTTTCAACAGCTTTTTTTTTTTTTTTTCTCTTTTTTAAAGTCAAAAAATCTACCAAGCAACATTTAGAAGTTATTGTTTCAAGAGCTATGATTTCAGCCAAGGTTGCAACATGTCACAGAAGTTAAATTAAAATAAAAATCAGAATCACAGAACTACATAACTAAGGAATACTGAAAATCCTGGTCCCCTTGACACGAATGCCAACATTCTTTTGATAAACTCTTTCTAGAGAGAAAGTAAGCGTTTCACATGCTATCTGTCATGTTTTTTCATCGAGAAAAGTCAGAATGAAGGACTACTTCAGAACAACAATAATGAAATATTTTAAAGCCTTGAAGTTACTTTAGAAATAATAAACTTTCTTTAAATGCATATACCAACTTTGAACCCATTAATTTTGACATTTTAAGCCAATTGAACGGCCACTACAAAAGGAAAGAAGTTAAGAAGTATTTCTATTGCCTTTTTCAAAAGAACCAATAACGGGCATAACTTATAAATAATTTGAAGCTGTTTGGTCATGTCACAAATAGCAGATCCTTAAGTTATATTTAGAGTTTTTAGGCAGGACAGTATTTGAACACGCTGCTTGAAGTACAATACAGATATAACCTAATGTTTTTTTGACATTAAAGTCACTTGATCCAAGAGCAGTAAAATTAAGTATATTTTCTATGGATTTGCAAACTTCACTTTCTAACTGCCATTCCTCCAACCCCTTTCACTGCAGTACTTTTAGTTCTCTCATGCCTAAACCTCCCCCACATCATCCTCAAGCTAGCTGTTCAGAGGAACAGGAGGACACTAAGCAAGTGATGGTACTGCTGTTCATTCTCTGAGCATAAATGGCAACCAATAGATCAACAATCATCTCTTGAGATTATGCAGCAACCCTGTCTATAGGGGGGACACTAGTTTTAATTCTTCACCTCTATCCAGCGGAGAAATTTTGAAGCCCTCACCTTTGAAGTTTCCAACTGTCAAATTTGGCTGAAATTGGTCTAAAGGCTCAGGAAGGGGGGGGGGGGGGAAGGGGGCAGGGAATAGAGAGATAGCATATCACATAAATCTCAGTGCCTCAGGAGGCCAGACTAAGAACACACTCAATCTTGTATGTTGCAGAAATAAATTGTTTTTCTTTTTATAACTGCATCAAACAAGAAAAGGGGATCAGCCACTTGCACCTAACATTTATGATGTGGTAGCAGATATCAGCTGATAAGTTTCCTACAGGATACTGACACATCATCTGCTAATAAGATTTTTACCTGGAGCCAGATTTGGAGCATGGGGCTGTTCAGTCGGCAGATTCATAACAGGTTGACGACCTTCACTTTGAAGAGCTGAAATAAGTGGCTTCTTTAAAGCTAAAATAAAATTCATTGACAAAAGCCTTAATGTGAAACAAATAGCCACTATATACTGGGCCTTCCTCTGACTATCTTGTCTTTTCCTTTTCTTCTTTTTTGTTTTTCCTGGTTTTAATCATAGATTAAAATATAAAATACAAGATTTCTGGAAAAGATATCAGAAGCGCTGAAGCACTCAACATTTTTGAGAATTATCACTTCTAACAAATAAATATAGTAAATATTATCAGACTTTACACCCCACTTGAATTTTTTTTTTTTTTTTTTTTTTTTTACTTAAAACAGTTTTAAAACTTTTGCGTTTCACTGTGAAACGCCTTGGTATTCAAACAGGACGTAAGCGCCACCAAGCACCCAAATAAGAAAATATTAGAATATTTCTTCTAACCAGTGGGAGTATCTTCAGCTTTAGCAGGGTCATTATCTTCTATTCCAGGCATGCCTGCATCTCCTCCCAATTTGATTTTCTCTGTAAAACAAGAATAGGATATTCTTCCTTACTCATCTTTTCAAGTTTTAAGAGGGAATTTACTCCTGTGGAAGGCTCCAAGAACAGGAAAAAAGAAGTCCTTCATCCACAGAACATGTACCATATTAGTAACACAACTGCAAGACTCCTTATATTGTTCTATCAAAGTGCCTGAAGGCTGCCTTAGAGCAGTGATCCTGAACTAAGGTTATGCAATCTTCAGAAAAGGACAGGAAACAGATGTACTGCTGATGGGAGCAGAGTAGGAAATGCTTGCTGGAAGAACCTGACTGGAACAGACACTGAACTGATATGGAAAGGCTGATATAAAAGGCTGAACTGATATAAAAAGGCAAAAAGGCTGGTTCAGTAGCACAAAAAGCAGAAGCAAAGGGAACCCATCTGACTTTCAGGGGAGGCCTAGAGCCAGGGAACAATCATAATAGTTACTCACTGAGATATTCCAGCATAGCTCCTGACAACCAAAGGTTCCTACTGTTCCTGCTCAGTTGCCCGTTTAGACTTCTCATAGTGGTTTCAACACTCCTGAGCACCAGGCACCTTCTTTGTGCAGGTTACAGCTCTCCAGAACCATGCCCTTTCCCTAGCTCACCTCAAGATAGCATCTTACAGAGAGCAGGGAAACACTCCCCAGTTCAAATTGGCCAGACAAGAAAGGAGATGTGAAATGAACCAAGAAAGAAGACACAAAATCGTGCAAGCGACGGCTTTCGTAAACAGACAAAGAGAAAGGACAAGCCAATCTCTGGATTCCTATAAACTCTAACTTAGTACAGTCAAATGTGGCTAATCAAGTTACCTGAGGCAAATGATTCATTGTTCTACTTTAAAGACGCTCTATGATAGCAATGGATATAACACAATTGGCCCATATCTATCAGAAGTGACCAAAAAAATACCTTTGCCATCTACAACATGATCTGAAGGCTCTTCATTCTTTATTGTGTTTTTATCTTCTGTCTCTGGAACGGTCTTAGATACTGCTTGGTCATCATCATTGAGACTTACTACTTCAGTGCCTTTACTGGACTGAATTTTCTGTGTGGCCTGTTAGAACAAATTAATTCAGAAACAATATTAAAGTCAGCCCTGAAAGTTAAAATACAAAACCCCTCAGCTTTAAAATTACTTTAGGAAAGCAAAATTGCATTTATGAACTAGATGATCGCCAGAGCGATAACAGCAGAAGTCCTCTACATGCAAGCCTCAGTCCTGACTATGGACACTTGTCACTAAACAGAAGACTTAAAATACTGTACAGTGGTATGATGTTTTCACTGGCATATGAAGGACAGCAGAACCACTCATAATTTGTCAATAACACTAGAGCAAAAATGCCGAGGAAACCATTACCATACCACAAGACATTAGTTTTATTGCAACAGAACATACAGGAGAACCTTGGAAAGTTTATTTTTTAGGCACTACATTTGCTAGTGTTCTGCCTCTAACAGGAAGCTACCACACACACGTAATCTGTGAACAAACATAATTAACACAGAGGGAATTACCATGGGAAAAAGCGTTAAGGCCAACTCAGCTCAAATATATGACAATCAGGTTAAGATATCATTGGCTTTATGCCTCAGACCAGGGAGACTTCTACAAACATGTCTAGATTTTTGATTTGAAATATCTGTAAACAGACACTGAACAAGGAAATGAAATTTTCACCAGAAGTGGGTTATCTTTTCATCTGTTTGTAGAAAAGAGGCCCATATTCTACTGACAGCTTGCACAGTATAATTACACACTTGATACCATTCAAACACCATGGTTATTTGAATCACATTAGCACCCAGAAGCCTCAAAGATCAGGTTCCCCTTTGCAATAACCTACATAAGATTGTAAGAACATAGAACCTACCCTGGAGAGCTATAAAGTAATATCCATTTTACAGAGGAGACACTGAAATCCTGAGCACTGATGTCATGCAGGAAGGCTGTAGCAGAACAAAGAATTAAGTCTGATCTTCAAGGCTCAGTTCAACAACTGAACAAAACAGGCAGATGGTCTTAAACTAATATCCATTTAGGGCTGCTCAGTGCAACATTTACCCAAAAGTTAGAGGAGAAATGTCCAGGCCCTCCACATAACAGTTGAGTCAACTAGCAGGCAAACCTGGGGCTCCTCTAATCCGACAAAGAAGTTTAGCCATGTATTACCTTTTGTTCCCGTATAACTTGGTCCAGTAATTTCTTTATATTTTCTTCATGTTGCAGTCTCATTTCCTTGATCTGCTGCCCACACTGCAGACTTAATTAGAAACACATTATCAGTCACATTTGAGTTGTTATATCAGTTTTCGCATAAATGAAAAAAAAAAAAAAAAAAAAGTAGTTCACAGAAAGCCAAGCCTGAGAGATAACTAGAATAGTCTGGCCAAAAATCCATGCTTTGGAATGAGAGTGGAAATGGACAGAATACAGAAGAAAAAGAGGACTGGAAAAAGATAGGGACAGAGCAGAAATACAGTAAAATAAACAGAAGAGTCCTGAAAACTCATCCTCCAAAACCTGAAAAGCAACTGAAAATTCAATCTCCTGTCGTCAGCATACATTAATTCCACTTGGAATCCATAGAATCATCTGCTATGGCTGTCAACACAGAAGATGTACAACCACTGCTACCAGTTACTGCTGCCAACTCAAATAACAAGATCTGAATCACACAGCTAAATGTCCCAAGTTTTCTCCCAAGCCACATAGAGATCGACCAAATTAAACAAAATTCCCCTGCCCCCCACAAACACTCAACATAGCAAATACCAAAAAAAAAAAAAATTCTCACATACAAGTTTTAAACATTTTCTCAGTGTTAGCCTCTCTCATTCCTTAAGGCTTCAGAAGCAGTTGTTCTCCCTACTTCTCCATTATAAGGTTAAAAGGCTGAAATTAACTGGAAATTTCAATTATGTAAAATGTTTTCACCTCCAGTTCAATAAAATACATTCCTAGGAAAAAGCGATGAACAATACCCCGTGGCTTACAGAACTGTGGAGATTAAATTGAACTCTTCCACTTATCAATTCCTGTTAACCGACATCTCCATGTCATTAGAAATTCATTTTGACTTAAAATTACCCAATGCTGAGCAACTAGGATAAGCCAGATTTTCCAGAGCTAACTCAACTAGGGGTGGGGGGGGAAGAAGATAACACCAAAAAAAATGGAACCTTAAAATGAAACAGCCAGGTAAAGTTGCTGTTTCATCACCAGCAGGGTACACTCAAGCTTGAAGATTAACAGAACTACGATTCATTTGTGTGCGTGCGTTTATAAATATAGACTTGCGTTACACACAAGCAAACCTACAGTTACTAACATCTCTAAAGACATACCTATCATATTCCAATCTCCTTGTAAGGTAAGTATTGTTTTTCTTGTATTCATGAAGCTGATCTTCCTGACGAATGAATTCCTGTCGTAATTCTGCTAGTTGTTCTAGATCAAAACACAAAATCAACACATGCACCATGGGACATTTCTTTTTATATGCATACAACTTTCAATATTGCCATATAAGTTATAAGTTAATGTGAGAAGTTTGTTTTTTGGGTTGTTTTTTAGCATGATAGGCCACATAGCATCAGAAGACTTGTTTGTTAATTTGGTAACCCAGAAACGTCATCTGGCATGCATGAGTAAATTGGCATGTTTTTCAAATCGGTTTAAGACTCTCTAAAATATATGTAGAAGAAATAACAAAAACACCAAAAAAGTAAAACCTCCCTTACCTTTTTCACTCAGAAAACTTATACAGTGCTATTCCAACTATTTCTTGGAAATCTCTATGATTTCCTGAAAAATTCTATTATTCTGAGTTATCACTAGGTTATTTTAGGCATGATGGTCAAGTACTCTTCTTCTAGAATAAGCATACAAAAAAGGTACTTCACACTATCCATAAAAATACTTAATATGCTCTTCCTGTCTTCACAGGTACTTGTTCTAGAAGTTCTCTCTCTTCTCTTCAGGCTACAGATATTTGTTAAGCTCCCTACTATTTTAAGTTGAAACTATATAAATATAGGTAGAAATGTAAAGTATCTTATCTGCAGGCATGTACAAATTTTGGCAACAGTTGTTTCAGGACTCTCTGAAAACCTACACGTGAAAACATAGGGACACGATTACAATGCCTGTAAAGTACAGCAGAGTCCTTTTCTAAGCTGACATTAAGTATCACAATATCACTGATTCAAACCATACTGAAGTGTATATTACTTTGATCATGAAAACGATCCTAATATCTTGGAAGTCAGCAGCGTCAGAACGCATGTTCTTTCTGCAGAGAATAAAGTCTACGAAAGCCAACCCTACGCTTACCCAGGCTAGATAATAAACAAAGGTCACGGAACTTCAGATTATGCGATGCTCCAGCACTGCTTGATCTTTCATTTAAAATGTGTTCTGCAGTACCTAGGCAGTTATAAAACATGCAACTTTATAATCCTCCAAATCACAGTTTGGCCATAAATCCCTTACCCTTTAAACGATGTATATCTGCCATTTGATACGATATGTTGTTCTGCAACTTAATCTGAAAAGAAAAAATAGTTATATAAATAACTATAGACAGTCTTTAGCTGGTTAGGAAGTGTTCAGACCTGCAAAGACCTAGCTGCTCTTGAAATCATACTTTTCCCACTGTAAAGAAATAATGTATCTAAAGGAATATCAGACAGATCATAAAACATTCTGTACACATAGTTTATATTTAGTTATCTATAAGTGATATCAATGTAAACAGTATATTTAGCCATTGCTAACAAAGATTTAGATACATTTATTTCCAGGACATATTTCTATCAGAAAAGCAGATTTTGTCAAGACTAAAATAAACACACTGCATTCTGATATTGGAAATTCACTATCTTCTTCTGCAATGTCAAACATAAATGTATAAACAGCATCATTAGCAAAAACAAATTTTTCCCTAATGTATGTTGAAAGTAAATATTTAATTTGATGTTACATAACATTCATAACAGAAATTATACTTTTAAGAGACAATGCGACACCAATAGACTTCCACAAGAGTGTTTAATTTGATATTTTTAGTAAGGAAAAAAATAGTATTTACAATAAATAAAAAGCGCATACACAGAAAGTGATCAAGTAAAGATATCTTGTCTTGTTCTTACACAAAGTAAAAACGTAAAGAGAAAAAAAGCATCAGAAATGAGGAGAAAGATGTGAACGTAGAAGATAGTGAGAACAGGTGGAAAAGCCCACAGCCATAATCAGGCAACACTGATGTTTATCTTTTTTGTTGATTCATGATTGAGATGAGAGCAACTGTCCTGTGGTACTAAAACACTGTTGTCATTCTGGATTACAAAGTCAGAATTACCTCTCAGAGAGGTAAAGACAACATCTAAAGACTGCATCTAATCTGATCTTCACTTAATTAACCAAAAAAAGCAAAATGAATAACCCACAAGGCATCGCAGGTATAAATATTCTCACAAACAGCTTCGGTATCATTTAAAAGCCAGGTATCTCTGCCTCTTAAGAGCCTCTGTATTTCCTATTTTAAAACCATGTATGAGCACATGTACTCTGAAGCAGGGGAGGGGGAAGCATTCACACAGGCTATTTCAATTCTTGCACAGATTCTGAAGCTTAATGTCTGAATCCGTTACTTACCTTTCCTGTAAAAGAAGATATATGCCCTTACTTTCTTTAGAAAAGACTTCTAGCATCCCTTTTATCAAATAAATAACTTCAAAAATGTTTCTTGTTTTGTTTTTTTGTGTGGGTTTTTAAAAATAAAAATAAAAAAAAAAAGAGAGAGGCACTCAGTTCTTGATCATAAAATTCAATTTGTCCCGTATGCGTTCAGGCATGTAAAACTTTAGGAAATATAACTATGCAAGAACTGCTGAAATCGTGATTTTCTGAAGAACATTGTGTACACCAAGGCACGTATCCAACAGCTCCAGTCGCATAATAGAGGCTCCTTATGAAACAGAGTGCTACATCAAGAGTTTTGTTTGAGCCAGACTGCAATATCCTGGCTCATCCCTAGCAGCAACGCATACATGGGGAGCGCTGGCAACAAACCATTCTCCCATGTCAGAGAACAAAAGCCAAAGTATTTATCTAGAGGGCTGAGAGGCATCACCAGTTATGGCTCTGATACGTAGGGGGAATAAACAGCCAAACCCATCTACTTAACATTTTTTCCCCAAAAATCACAAGAAAGAAATGGCAGATGATGCAATCTCTTGGTAACCTGAGAATACTGACCATATTGCTCTGAAATATGATACAAAACATAAGTACTCAATAGGGACACTTGAGGAGTCATCTCAGCATTTCAAAGCCATGCACTTGAGGACCAGTTAAATATATTCTTAGTACATATAGCAATCAAAACATTAAAATGTACTAGTTACAGGATTGACAAAAACCAACATTCAGTTAAGTGAAAACCTGTTTTGTGCTTCCTGTGTTTTTAAAAAAAAAATACAAGGCTACCCTGTGGTGAAGGCTTTACATAGAACTAAAATATAATCTCCAATCCTTTCTATAACAAAAGCGTCCATTTTGCAAGCTCTTCTTTTAATCTCTTCCTCTGCTGGACACCAGGATATAGCAATGGATACAAAGAGTCATTTGTTGAGTGTTAATGAAAAAATATTTTTTCCCTGTGTCCGGGAAAATATAGAAGCAGGTGCATTAAACAGAAAAATGTGAAACAATGGCAGTAATTACCATTTTTACCCATCTTCCTCTCCAATACAATTCTTCTGAAAGTCAGTTAATGTATACCTCCCAGAACCTAAGATATCTGCAAATAAAGGAGATCATGTGAAGCAGTGAGTTCTTCTGTTTTCAAACCTTTACGTATCAGAATCCCTAATGCAGAAAACCTTGTTTCTTCCTTGCTTCTGCTCAACCTATGAAACATTTGACTTGTAAAAGGTTTGCTGGTGGGACGTGCTTGTTCTATTAACAGGAATATGATTATCAGTCTTATCGCAATCTTTAATTTTGGAGATTTTGTGCGTCAGAAAAGTGACAGCATTCATAGCCAAAACAGCTTAGCTGACAGTAAATGTCCCTAATCTGAGGGACAGAAAGAGAAGAAACTTCTTATGATTCATGGGATCTGTTCCACCTACACTCACAAAAAAACCCGTGGATCAAGTCCAGTTCTTTCATATGTGTCCTCCTTGTATCTAGACTTATTTGTTCTCCTCTTCTTTGTCAGTGGCTTCCCAGGTCTTCTCCAAACCAGTTGGGAAATATTTAAAAAAAAAAAAAAGAAAAAAGAAAAAAGACAAAAAAAAACTCTACAGCCCTGTAAGATCTACTCCAGAAAAAGAAACATTAAAAATCCTGTAGTTGCTAGTGCTATGTATACGCAAGGCAGTACTTCCAGCGCTATATGAATCGCAATAGTCTTGTCATATAATAAAAGGCAACGTTAAGAAAAGGAAGTTACAAACACCCTGGAGATTATCTATACCTACAGCAGGATAGAATAGGGATTGTCTTGCTTCCCAATTAAAGACTGCATAAGTGAAACTCTAAACATCCACCCATATTTCACTGAGTCATTTCTTTCTCTAGCAAGAACACCCTCAGAAACCCCTGTCAGAGCAGCACAAGCAGGTGTCCATACTCCTCTGTGCAGCTTAAGGCACCTATCCACTCCAAGTACATTGCTATAGCGGATTCTGGAAAAGCAAGTGAAAGCTGTTTAAGAGTCCTTTTGCAGAAAGGTCTATATTCCACAATCTTTCTGCTATTATTTGTGAATCACCTCTTTCAGAGCAGCCAGTGTTATTATCGAGCAGTTAGTAGAGTCTTGGAGATGAAGTGTTGCTCCACATTGTGACGTTGATAATCAAGAGCATGCAACAAAATAGGAAGAGACATTCAACATCACCACTGCAAAGCTACAGCTTTGCAAACTGAAAAGCTATCAAGGAGGTTTGGCCACAAAGGTACTATAAAGGAACACAAGCTGCTTCCAAGGACATTTCACTAAACAGTTTCAACGTATGAAGCACCATTTCTAAGCATCAGCTAAGGGAACAAGGCTGTATTACACACCTGGCATAGCAAGTAACAGTTGCAGAAATAGGCATGCTCCTGAGATCTGCAACAGCAAATACCAAGATATGAACCCCTACACACTGGGTGGTTGCCATCTGGAAGCCTTCCACCCTAAATTCCTGCCATTCAATCATTTTAAGCTTATTGCAAAGGGATGCGGGAAGCCATGGAAGAAAAAGGTGTCCTTACTGTGTGCTGCAAAAAGCATGAAACGCTCAGGAAACTACTGATAACGCTGCATGCACGACTTCCCCAAGCACTGGTGCAATCGCTATTCTTGTTTGCCTCTCAAGGACAGGTGCTCCAAAAGAGAAGTACTCCTCTATTTTGTTCCAATACCCAGTGGACCATCACAAGCTCATCAAGATTAGCACAGGGTGAGAGGAAGAGAGAGTTTCCAAGAACTCATGCCTCTGATAGAAAGAGGCAGATCTATTCTTGCGTTTTCCCACTATGGATGTTAGCAAAAGGCTGTATGAGATCAGAAATGGCCAATTACTGAAAAGCACGTGCTGTCAAAGCTCCTATTTTTCCCCACCATCTCTCCTTTGGCAAACATTCATGGCCTGCATTTTTTCCCTATCCATTTAAGTAGTTTCCTAGTTCCAAGAAGGCTCTTCTCTTCCCAACCCTAGTCGTACTCTCCCCTTCTTTTCTTCTGGGTTCTTTAGAAGAGCCCTTTCTTTGTCAGAGGTTCACCTTAACCTCTCAAGATCTTTTACATCAGCGAGTATCTCTCCCTCTGAGATCTGCCAGACCTGATGGGCCTAAAGGTCTCACGTAAAGAACTGCTCAAAAAAGAGTTACAATCATTTGTTTTCCAGCTTTCAGTGTAGCAAAATAATTTTTTCCCCTGCCATTTAAGGGGGTCATTCTTATTGCAGGCTTGAGAGAAACCGAGTAGTTTTCTACTTTTCTTCATTGCACCTTAGCACTATCATACAAAGAGACCTCTTAGCTTCCATATGCTGCCAGCAGCAGGTGCTGTCTAATTGCAGTTCAATACATACCAGTTTACACTTTAATAAATATTAGAGTCTGCAGCAAGGGTTTTCACCAGACACTACGTCAGTTGACTACATTTACAGTTGTAAGAGCTGTCACAAGAGTAAATAATATTCTGGTGCAGTGTGACTGGCTTGTAAAGCATGTGATGGGAGGGAGGAGAGAGATAAGGGTTTGGGCATGGCTATAGATCTCACTGAACTAGGAGGAAGCTGCCTGCAGAAATTCAAGTTGTCTTAACATTGGAAGATGCATCCTTGATGTGCTTGACCACAAGGCAAAGAATCCCTTATGAGGACTAAGGAGCATAAAGTAGAACAGACACAACAATAGCTACCAGAGTATCATCTTTCAAATGAGTTTGCTATGAAATAAAAACCTAGCTTTGTTGTCATCACTTGGTACCCTGGGAATTATCAGTGTTGGTTCCTTATTATAGTTCCCGCATTTCACAGATGGACTGGTTGGTATAAAATAGTTTTTTCAAAAACCATCCTTGTTAAATTCTGTTCTGAGGGGGGAAAAAACGCATCAGTCAAAATAATCCTTTTTTGGTCAAACACTTTAAGCATACTTTGCGCCTTTTTTTTTTTTTTTTTTTTTAAAAAGTCTGTTGACTGCTTTACTCCCAAAGGCAGTCCCCCCCCCCCCTTTTTTAAATTTAGGATTGCTGTGACTGAGAACATGAAAGCAGCTCACAGAGGATGAAAAGAGAAATGGACAGTAACTGGCTATTGAAAAAAATACTGCTCTCCTTACCTATGGAGACACACTCAACATTTTGAGCACCTGGAAAGAAGAGATCATATTTAGAAGCTACTAGCTCATGTGACTTGAAATGGCAGCTTCTGGAACAATGAATGAAAATACAGCGCATACACTAAAGTATGCATCATATTTACAATAAAAATAATTACTGAGGTTTACTGGTCTCATCTCTCTCCCACCTCTCTCCTTGCAAAATGCCAGGAGTCTGGAAGCGTTCACAGACCAAGCAGGTTCATGGAGAACACAGCGTTCAGCGTGAACATTCAGCCCTTCAGCATCTCAGTTCATATCATACGCGTCGAAGAGGGCCCTGGCTTCCAGTAACTCCTGTTACAAACCCTGATTTAGCACTTACACTTTGTCTCTGTTAAGGAGCAGGATGAATTTTTTTCGCTGCAGGACATGAGGCTCTTATGCTGGAGATGAGTGATTTAGGTAGTATCCTATTTTTGTTTGGTTTGCTGTCTTTAAACGCTCCATGTAACATCGTTTTACTGCTCGTATTTTCCCAAATAAATCCTACTGAGAGCACGAACACTGCTAGCAGAAGAAAAGAATTCACTATAATATGTAAGACTGCATTTTAATAATCACAGTAATGGATCTGTGCACTACCAGATGATTCAGAAATACAAACTTGATCCTAATCAGACACAATATTCAATTCTGTCAGAGAGGCCAAAAAAAGAGTCCAAGTTCACAATGACTTTATGCCTGTAGGAGAAGGACAAGTGATGTCTGAGCTGGTATAAAATCCGGTGATGTAAGTTTAACCTGCTGAAGTTTTGTTTTTGAAAAAATGTAAACAAAAGAGTTTACACCAGATGAAGCTGCATTCTATGTATTCAGTATTGTTGACAGAGTATTAAGGGATCTAAATCCAGACTTATTATGCCACTGAATCACAAACTCAATCTTCCACTACAGAAAAGCCTTAAAAGCAGATATGGCCTTTATGCATTTACAGTAAAATGAAATTATTTAGGGTACGTTAATAACTGAAAGATTTGGATAAACTGTTGCCTTTAAAAGACCATCTTGGAAGAAGGTCTATGAAGCACAAGAGCTTCATGCACCTATCAATACCTTATTCAGGACCCGGACGTTTTCACATACACTCTACGTGAAAAATAAACACGTCTTAATGTGATTCTTTCCATTCAAAGGAGTTGACATTCTCATCACAGGCAAAACTTAGAAACCATATGAACAGAAAATTGATTTGTAATTTCACTACAGGAACCTTATTATTGCTGTTTTATCCTCAAACTTAAGTTTCACAGAGGTTATAAAGATTCATTATCACTTTGTAAACTTGGTTACACTGGGATTTAGAATTAAAAAAATACTATGAAAGACAAATTCATTACAGAATACCTGCATCTACAGAGCTAGTGAGTTGAAAATAAGAACAGAACACAGCTAAGTACCTATTAAAAAAAAAAAATGCAATCATTGAATGTTGAAGTTAAGAATAGGTAAAGCCTACTTAAACCACTGAAACCAATTCCCATAAACCCTTTCAAGTTTCTATTTCCCCCTGCAGAACATTACAGATTTCCAAAAATACAAGTTTATTCCATTAAATCAAGCCTTACTATGTAACGCAGTCATTATAGCTTATCTGAACATCACCAGTATAGTTTTATACCTATCAGTTACAATAACGTATGAACAATTCATTCCTCTATGAACACAGGCTAAACATTACATATCTAATCAGGATTTTTGCATATTATTCCAAGCTCTAAGGAATCATTTGTCAGAGAAAAAAAAAGTTCGCTGAACACACAAATGGCTTAATTTTAATGCTTTAGTAGGAAAGAAGACATAGTAGTTTTAGCCTGACTAGCAGGAGATAAGTTAAGAGATACCTCTCACTTGGATATGAAATAAGGCTGGGCTTAACAAACTCCTCTGCATAAGTAACCACTGACGGGTGCAATTTAACCAGTTCAGCCAAACTCCACTTTAAAAAAAAAGTATGTATTTTGTTTGGCGATTAAATATATTTTCGTGTAGCACTCATGTGTGATATGAAATGGCCAGAACAAACTCAGCCAGTTTTAAGCCTGATAGAGTGATATTTCCCTAAGTTCTACTGTGAAAAACAGTCAATCAGATAGTGGAATTATGAACTGCACACAAATAACATATACATATAGCATACACAATAACATACAAGAGAGAACTTGCCCTCGATCTAGCACAGGCTTAACGGCTATATAAAAAGGTGCCTGCAATTACCATGAAAGCAGAACAATGAAAGTTGATGCATTCACTCCTTTTCCCTTCCCCAACAAAAGACACAACGCTTCACACAAATGGGCAAGCAGAATTTTGTGCTAGCTTCAGGTGTCGCTTTTACTACCTATGAAGAGAGAAGTTATACCAGCAGCAAGAATTTATTTCAAGTGTATTTCAGGTGCGTAAGAACCAGCCTCACCCTGCTAAACAAAACATTTTGCAAGACACGGGGAAAAGGTGTTCAGAGGCGCTACACCTGAACGTTTTGTTTCTTTTTCCTTCAAACCAAGCAAAAAAAAAAGCTCTCTAATTTTAAAGGGGTGGGCAGCTTTTTTGATTAGCTCCAAAATATCCAAAGAAAAAAAAAAGAAAAATCACACTCAGGAAACGAGGAAAGCTCAAGAAAAAAAGAATTTAAAGCCAGGCAACCCAAAACAGCGAGCACCCAACGTTTTCCTTGTTGGCAGGACACACGCTGTACCTGCTAAACGCGTTCAGCTCTTCTCCGGAAGGCATGCAGGCATCTGAACGCATCGCCCGTTTCCCAACGGCGCCCGCCGCGAAGCCCTTCAGGGGC